TTTTTTTTTTTTTTTTGGTGGTGTAGCTGCCTGCAAGTTGTCCATGCTCTTGCAACTAACACCAACTGAACTCATTTGGATGCCAAGCTAGATTTGGGAGGGGGGACTTATTTTTCTTTGGTGTTTGGTGCCTTGATTCCTCTTCCCAGGAAAAGTCTTATAACATTAGTAGCTAAAATGTACCACTGTTAAGCCAAGCAGTGGTGGTGGTGCGCCTTTAATCCCAGCACTTGAGAGGCAGAGGCAGAAGGATACCTGTGAGTGCAAGTCCAGTCTGGTCTACAGAGCTAGTTCCAATACAGCCAAAGCTACACAAAGAAACCCTGCCTTGGAAAAAATATTATATCTATCAATCTATCCATCTATCTATCATCTATCTAACTATCCATCCATCCATCTATCTATCTATCTATCTATCTATCTATCTATCCATCCATCCATCCATCCATCCATCTATCTATCTATCTATCTATCTATCTATCTATCTATCCATCCATCTACACACATGCATGTATACACACACATACACACACATGCATGTATACACACACATATACATCACTGTTAATTTCTGATTCTTGACTATTATGCAATAACCACATAAGATGTTTACATGGACAAGAGTAGAGTTAGTGCTTATAGGAATGCCATGCATGTTATCTTTACATTTACCCTAAATTCTAAAATTTTCACCTTGGTTCAAAGTTAAAAATTTAAGCCAAGTATGATCATACACACTTTTAAGTCCATCGCCTGGGAGGCAGGGTTGGGTTTGAGTTTGACAGAAGTCTGAACTATATCAGGAATTCTATGCCAGCTTGGACTACATGAAAAAAAAGCACACATTATCACACTTGAGATTAGTGATAGATAGTCTTCTTATGATTTATTCTACTGCCTCTTTTTTCTGTATTTCAGTGTTTGGAGTAGACCCTGATATGATTCAGGATGGGTCAACCATTCCGATTGCTAAACTCTTCCAGACTATTACACAAAAGAGTGTAATGATGCTCCCGCTGGGGGCTGTGGATGATGGGGAGCACTCCCAGAATGAGAAGATCAACAGGTGAGCTGACCCTGTGAAGGTGGGGAGTTCCACGTGGGTTTGTCCACTAGCCTTGTGTGAGTATGGACAATAACAGACCTGGTATCTTAAATACTTGATGCTTATCTCCCCATAGTTCCTTAGGTTGGGAACATTAGGTGAAGCCTGGCGACTTAGTTGGGGCTTCTATTACTGTGAAGAGACACCATGAGCACCGCAACTTTTATAAAGAAAAACATTTAATTGGGGCTGTCTTAGCCAGGAGGTGGTGGCGTACACCTTTAATCCCAGCACTCGGGAGGCAGAGGCAGGCAGATCTCTGTGAGTTCGAGGCCAACCTGGTCTGTAAGAGCTAGTTCCAGGACAGGCTCCAAAGCTACAGAGAAGCCCGGTCTTGAAAAACAAACAAAGAAAAAATTGGGTCTGTCTTACAGTTTCTGAGGTTTAGTCCATTATCATCATGGATGGAACATGAAAGTATGTAGGCAGACACGTGTTGGAGGAGGAGCTGAGATCTGTATCTTAATCTGCAGGCAATGGAAAGTGAACTGTGTCACTGGGTGTAGCTTGAGCATAGGAGACCTCAAAGCCCACCCTCACAGTGACACACTGCCTCCAACAAGGCCACACCTACTCCACCAAAGCCACACCTCCTGATAGAGCCACTCCTTTGGGGGCCATTTTCTTTCAAACCACCACACTTGGTCTCAGGCTACTGCTTTCTTTGTGTTTCCTCCTGTGGCAGAACTGGAGCAAACGAGGAGAGAGAAGTAGTGAGGAGGGGGAAGATATTGGTCTTGCTGCAGGCAAGCAAGGGGCTCTGCTGTGTCTTCCCTATAAACTCACAGCACCATGGGATTAGGCACATCCTCTGACATTGTATAACTTTAATCACCTGGAAGGTCCCTGCAGGGTTGGCTCATAGTGGGTTAAGGCTTCAACATATGGTTTTGGAGGCTGTGACATTTGGTGTCTAACAAAGGATATTTAGGAGTGCCTGATATGAACATATTGACAGATTATAGAAACATCCAAATGAGTGAGAAAGAAGAACGTTTGATTTTTTTTCAATTCCTGTCATGTCAAAAATAAGAAGGCAAAGAAACTCTGAGAAACCAAAGAAAGCCATGTTGGACAGTGTTCTCAGGAATCATAGCACCCAAAGAGGCCAGGGAGGGAGATAAAGAAAAAAATAAGAATAATGGATATTTTCTTGGTTGAGTCCAAATTTATTTGCCTCATTTCCTTCCTCTTCCTCACCCCTCCTCCTCCTCTTCCTCCTTCTTTTCTTCTGCTTGCTGTCCTAAGACAGAGTCTTTCTTGTTCTGCACCCCTGGCTAGCCTGGAAAGCTCTATCTATATAGACCAATCTGGCTTTGAGGTTCAGCAATCCTCTTGCCTCTGCTTTCCAAATGCTGGGATTATAGGTGTGTAAAACCACACCTGGTGATCATATTCTCTTAATAATTCTGCTTTTGGATTTATCACGTGACTTTGATCCTAGGATCTCCAAAGCATGCTAAATACTAAATGTGAATGCTAAATACAGAAACAATCTAAATACTTCAGATTGACTGGATTTATAATACATACAATTTTCCTGTGGACATGGTTGGCTGCTTTTCCTTCTTCATTGAGTGGGAATGTGTTTTCTTGCTTTTGTTTTTATTAGGTGGAACTACATACAGGGGTCCAAATTATTTGCCACCTTTTTCCTGGAGCTGTCAAAGCAGCACTCGTGACAACGGGTGCCTTCCAGCATCACTGGCCCACTGACGGATCTTCCCACTCAGACCCCCAGCAAAGCTGGAGTTGGAAAACTTCAGAAAATGTGAATCCAGCACAGTATTTGTTCCTTCCCATTTAAAATTTCTGGGGACATTGGGACCAGTAATAAAACATTGGAAAGGTACAGACATTGAGATGATTTAACCTTCCCTCTCTCACTTACCTTCCTAAAATCAGGGCAACTTGGACCTTCTGTCCCCCAAATCCAGTGCGACAGGCTGGGACTGGACTCAGCACCATCTTGGAGGACAAGTGGGACACCTCTTCAGCCAATTAGATTCTTGCTTGCTTGCAGTTCTCTTGGCTCAGTCTTCCAATTTGCTCAGCAGGCCCCGCAGAACTGTGGTACCCAATCTTCTACCCAAGATCTCAGGGCTTGAATCACATTTGCCTCTGTTCCCTTAATAAGGAAAGTAGTAGTTTCCGCTACTAGCTACAGTGATTCCTCTGTGGATTCATTTTTAGGGGAATTACCGGGGCATGCCACTGTATCAACTTCCTGTCTCCCCTTTCTTTTCTTTTCCTTTAGTTTCCTGAACATGCTAAAACTGAAACGATCAATATTCATACCCATATATGATTTGGAATCTTTGTGCAAAGATGAGTTTTTCTTTAATTCCAAACTTCTTACCCTTGGCCATGATTGATGACACTTGCTCAGTTCTTCTGCCTCCTCCATCTTCTGACCCCATCGATAAAGTCTCACTCCCTGCACACACCATTCTTCCAGCAGAATTCACCCAGATAGCATTTCTCTTACCCCATTGAGATTTTACTCAATGATTATATCTGAATTGCTCAAAGCTTTTAATAGCACCAGTATTAGATGGAAAACTAATCAACCCTGACTTCAGCAAGACAGTTTCAATTTAAAGCCCTTGACTAAATTGCATTTTTAAAATCATTTTAGTTTACCATCTTGTTTGTCTTGATTGGATTTGATGGTGTAAACACTACAAAAAGTTAATTTTTTTTACAGTTTAGTATATATAAATAAAACAGTCTTTATGAATTCATTATTTATATCATTTTAATAGGAAATGATTTGAAGGCTTATTTTTTAAATGCTTCATCTATTTTTCATCTGCTCGTTATTGAAATGCTACTTTTCAGATTTGCTGGATCAGTCTGGGTGGCTGAGAAGATGACTCACTAGGCAACACGCCCACTGCATGAGTGTAGCGCCCTGGGCTTGGCTTTCCAACACCCGCAACATAGATAGGTGCAGTGGCCAACATTTATAACTCCAGCACTGGAGGAGACAAACACTCAGATTCCAGGAGCTCACTGCCAGCTAGTCTCGCCAGTCAGTGAGCTCTAGGTTTAGTGAGAGACGAAACAAAAATATATTCATTTAACCTCCTCCCTGCAGATTCACAGTGGGGGATATGGTAGCATGTATGGCATCAGGCATGGTGCTGAAGAAGGAACTGAGAACTAAATCTAATCTGCAGACAGGCTGAAAGAGATGGGGGCTGGTATGGACTTTTGAAACCTCAAGCCCCACCCCCAGTGACACTCCTCCTCCGACGAGGCCACACCTCCTAATCCTTCTAAACAGTTCTTCAACTGGGATCAATCATGCAAATATATGAGCCTAGGGAGGCCATTCTCACCCAAACCACCACAATATCTATCAGGTACAGCCTGACTGTATCATGAGAGGGCAACAAACCATGCTTAGCTGGTAGATGAAGTATATTAATGTCTCTGTATTGTGACGTCTAGGGGCTCTGAGTACCAACTGGGCACTGATGCTCTGGAGGAAATTAAGAACTTGGAATGTTTGGGTTTCATACTCACACTGACCCTGGGGGCTGGATAGTGCACTCCCCCCATTATTTTTCAGATAACAGCTCAGTGTGTGCTTGCACGTGAACGCCACTGCACGCCAACTCGTGGGAGTCAGCTCCTTCCATCTATGTGGATTTGGGGGGTCAAACTCAGGTCATCAGGCTTGGCAGCAAGCATTGGTACCTGCTGAGCCATCATCAGTCCAGTTGTAATTGTGTGTTCATCTATACACACATATGTGTGCACATCTATGTGCATTTTTGTAGCGGTCAGAGGTTGATTGGGTTTTCTTCCTGAATTGTTCTCTACTTTATATTTGGAGACAGGGTTTTCTCATGAACTTGGAACCCCAAAATTTAGCTAGACTGACCGACTAGCAAGTGCCAAAGATCCTCATGTCTCCACCTTCTCTGCAGGAATATTCACAGGTCTTATCTACAAGTGACTCTGATTTAAGATGACAGTGATCTTGTCCTACTCAAAGGAAACAATCACCTAACAGAAGTTGTTCTTTAACTCAGGGGCCACAGAGTACCTGCGTAGACAAGACCCCTGAGACACGAGGGTCACAATGCTCTAAGCACTTTTCAATTGAATGCCAATCTTTCAAAATGGGCAGATTTCACAATTAACCAAGCAATGAACAGATGAGTCACTCCTAGAGTTATCTGAGTAATATCTGATTGGGTAAGGCTACTGTCCTGTTGTCTGTCTCCATCCTTGTAAGTTCCACACACACAGCACCTGATCCAGAATCAGAGCCCACTGGATTTCTTAAATGTGAAAGAAGAAAGACTCACAATGAGAGACCCATGCTGTGTTGCCTAGCTTCTCACTTATGTGGGCACATGGTCTCACCTACAGGCAGTGCCCCACACAAACTCTGTTATATGGCAGAATAAAGGACTATCTAATACCATTTGAGTAAACAGGACACGACACTAGTCTAGTAGTAAAATATATATTTTAAAGACTTATTTTTATTTGTATGAGTGTCTTGTTGATTCACGAACACGTGTACAGGTGCCTGTGGAGGCCAGAAGAGGTCATCAGAACCCCTGGCGCTGGAACTATAAGTGAATTGAGTTGCCTGTGGGTGCTGGGAATTGAACTTCTTTGCAAGAGAAGCAAGTGTGCTTAATCACTGAACCGCCTCTCCAGATCCAAATGTTAAATATTTAAAATGCATTTTTTCAATTTAAGTTTGACTACTCTGAATGTGTAATAGCTAATGAATTCACTAATGTTTATATCTTGCTTATGCACAACCATGTGAAACTCTTGCTTCCCTGTAAATACACTGTGGCTAGATGCAGTCTAACTTGTTGGTTTGTAGCATCACTGCCTCCCATGACAAGAAAACATAAGCTGTGGGCTGAAGGCTTCCGCCGTTTGTTTCGCCCTTTCATGGATGGAGTCTGCACATTTATATTCACTCAAGATTCCTCACCAAGGAAGACCGAATGGTGAAGGGAGATCCTGGGAGGAAGCCGGAATTGGGTGTGTTTTGTACTTTGCTCAGTGTCCAAAAGCTTTACCGATGGGGTAAAGTACAAAGGCGGGAACACAAGTTTCTCTTCAGGGATGAAATGACGTATTCTTTCCACACTGCGCTTTACAAGAAAAGTGATGGTAGATATAATGACTATAATTTTTTTAACAGTTATGGTAAGTAAATAAATGTTCCTAGACTATTTTAGTTTGGGTAGAAGTGAAGAGAAAAAAAATGCCATTGTGTCGACAAATCTTATTTTAAAACACTATTCTAGTGTAATCCCTTGTTCTAGATGAAAAAAAAAAAACATGTCAGAGAAATTATGCCTTTCACTGTAGTAGAAAATATGAAGTTTTAAATTATCTCACCTCCCACATTGAAATCCACCAAAACAGCATTCAGAAAGAGCTAAGATTTAAAATTCTAGTGTGGGTGTTTAACATACATATTCACACTGCTATTGTAAGTAGGCATTGCATGTAATAACACAAATGTGACAGCGAACTAGAATGTTAGATGACACCGTGGAGTTAGTCACGAGGAATGACCAACCTCTCTCCTGAGCTGTGAGTTATTGTTGTCAAATAAGTGGTGCTATTTAAAGTCTATCTACACCCCCACTTTCAGAACCAGAAGGCAGAGGTCTGGGTACTTCAGCAGGTAAAAATAGGGATGCGAGTTTCTGGAAAGGGGAGCCTCAGAGGACAATACTGGGTTCTGCATGCTCTGCCTACATCACTGGGTAAGGCAGGTTTGATCCCTCTAGGGACAGACGGGGAAAACAGGTGAGACTTGACACGTTCAGCACGGCCAGAGAAACAAAGCACAAAGTGAAAACTCTAAGACTGCCTGACAAGACAATACAAACCACCAAAGCCCTTTAGAGCTTGTTAGGGGACAGAAGGAACAGAATGAACATGTGACCCTAACATGGGTCCTTCTGGTTGGGCTTTATTATTGCTGTCTTCAGTGAGAGTAGTTGTGGTCATCTAAATAAGGCATTTACCATCTAAATGAGGCTTAGCAGACTTCCTACAGGGGCTGCTAAGATGGCTGGCAGGGAAAGGTGCCTGCTGGTGATTGTAGTAGCCTAAGTCTGATCCCCCTGGACCCACATGGTGAAAGGAGAGTGCCAACTTCCACAAATTGTCCTCTGACTTTCCCATACATGAACTATGGTACATGTGCAGGTGGACACGCACACACATTTTAAATAATTCCTATACGGAGGGGGGAGAAAACACTTGAGGCCCCTTCTGAAGGATATTTAAGTGGTATATTATTTGTGTTTTAATAAATAAAGCTTGCTTGAAGATCAGAGGATAAAGCAGCCACACTAGTCATTTGGGCCAGGGGGTAGTGGCACACACGTTAAGATACTGAGGCAGACGGATCTCTGTGAGTTCAAGGCTATCCTAGGCTATACAAGATTGATCTAGGAACAGATCCAGGTGGTGATGGTTCACACCTTTAATCCCAGTGTTTGGGAGTCACGTGCCTTTAATCCAGCCCCCAGAGTTGTAGAGGCAGGTAGTCCTCTGTGAGTTCAAGGCCGGCCTGGTTTATAAAGTGAGTTCAAGGCCAGCCTGGTCTATAAAGTGAGTTCCAGGAAAGACAGAGATACACAGAGGAGCCCTGCCTAAAAATCAAAAAACAAAACAAAACAAAACAAAAAAATCAAAATCTCTTACTCTGAAGGCTCAGGGCCATCAGTGTGTTGGATTACGGTCCAAGGTAGCTTGAGTAAACCCCAGTGTGTTTGCCCCACAAAATGTACAGCCCCTTCTGGCCTCAAACTTGTGAGCGTCCTTCAGCAAATTCTATGGTATATGCTA